CGCGATCAAATCGATTAGAAAATATTTCCATGCTTGGAAATTTCTACAAAAGTTGTAGAAAAACAAGAAACAGACGAATATTGTGTATTGCATCTGATAAATTTCTTTTTAAAGTTCATTATTATATATATAATGGAATAATCATTCCGAATTTGATTTAATAAGTATGCATCATCAAAGACTTTTTTAATTTACTGACAAAATCATTTGTATTTCTTTTTTATTTAGCGGTATATTATGGTGAGAAAAGAAAAATAAGAAAGAGAGGTAATGAAGGTTAATTTAATAATTTCTATGAACAATAAAAGAGAGCACGAAATTTTGCTTGTTGGCATAGCAGAAGGAAGTTATTGATGACGAAGAGTTGCATTGTTTTAGAGTAATAATAAAATTTTAAAATTGAAGAAAGAATATTTTACCTGTTCATTTTACTGCATATTACACATTAAAATTGAAATTTTGTCAATGAAGCACATAACTGAATGATTTCTGCTATGTTATCAAGCAAAATGGATTTATTCATTTCTTTGTTTATCAGTTATAATTTTGGTATTTAACTTAAGATTTTATTGTTTATTTCGACGAAATCAAGAAAAAATGAATTTGAGTAATTCGATTGTTTAGCTTTACCTGAACACTCAAGCAACATTAACAAATATGAATTGGAGTAGAGCAAAATTACCCCATTTCAAAAAATTAATTTAGAGAAATAAACAGAATTTTTTGTTGACCAAACCGGAAAAAAACATTAACCCAAGCTTTTTGTAAATGTAGTAGTCTTTGTTAACCTTTAACCTCTAAAAAATTTGCTTAAATTAATAAATTATGATTACTCCTTAATTCCATTAATAACTGTCAACGTCTAGCAGGTTGATTACTTACAAAACAATATTTGTCGTAAACAAAATTTCTTGTGTTAAGAATAATTTGAATGAACGTTTGCATTTGTTCAAAAAAAAATTAATTTTTACATACATAACAGTAAATGTGCTTATTTTTGTATCCACAATAGCGAAAAAGATCAAAACTAAGGTGGAAGCTTTGTTGATAAGCTCATTTTGTATGTGAATCCACGTACATATATGGTTCGAGTGTATGAACGTGAATAATAAGTTCAGATTGGTAATTCTTTAAATTGAATTAATAAATTGGTATAAATGTGATACAACTCATCATCTCAAGCATAATTTATTACATATTTTAAGAGAAAATTTCATGCAAAAAGAACATCTGAAGGAATTTGACAAGCTAAATACGATCATCAAAGAGATGAAAAATAAAAGTAAAGCGAAGAAATATCCATCAGAATATGCCCCAAAATAAATTTCAAGCCAATATATGATCGAATTGAATTTCATCTTACAGCTTTTCATTTTGATAGAGGAAAAAAGAAAAGATATAATGCAAATAGCTCTAGGAATAGAATGAAATAAAACAAACCAAGATATTTCACTTATTTAATTCATTTCCATTTCACTGATTGCAATTAATTCATACATGATTTCCATGAAACTTTTGCAAAAAAAAAAAAAAAAATTATCATAAGGATATGATTTCATCGAATAACTTTGAAATTTGACAAAAAAAAAATGTTTTGGACATCGAATTTTTTGAAGTAGCTTCTTTTTTTTTGGAAGTTTCCTGGAGTTGAGATTTATGTACCATTTTGAAATTATCGTAATCGATCATTTTCATCCTTCCTTTTTCGCTTTAAATTTAAAGGCGTTTAACAAAGATTCGGTATGCAAAATGAAGCGATGAAGTGATATTTCGTATTTGCAAACGATTTCTAAACTAATTTCAAATCCAAAATTTTATTATTCAACGTATTAGAATCACTATCTGAAAACGGCCAATTTATTAATTTTTGATGTCATAATTATAAAATAAACTGTAATGATTGAAATTCCGGTAAATCCGATACTAACAAATTATGACAGAAAAGATACAGAAGCAATCATCACTATCAAATATTGTCAGTGTTATCCGGAAATTGATTGCATACCAAATTCTTTCTTTTCTTTTTGTTAAAGATAAAAAATTTTGAACTTAATATAAATAGCAAAAAAAAAAATGAAAAGATTCCAAATATAGCAATAGTAAATTTAACATTTTATATATTTGAACAATCGATTTCGATTCTTTTTTAAATTAAATTCAATAAAAAAAAAAACGTTTTTTGACGTTAGCAAACAAACAGAGAAGGAAACAATTTTGTGTAAGTAAAAAAAAAGTATGGAGCAAATATTTCATTTAGTAGCATTCCTATGACTATAGAAGAATAATAATCATATTTGAAGGGATAATAACAATATGGACACATGCAAGGATTACAAATTATACGGGTGGCAAAAATTGCGGATGACACTGTTGTGATTAAAAAATGGTATTAAGTTGTTAGCAGTACGATATTGTTATTTCAAATCTTAAATCAATCAATATTGTTATATTTCATCATTGTCTAAAAAATAGCATACTCTTCATATTACGAAAGTATCAGAATTAAATAAAACTGTTGGTACTAAGCTTTTTTTAAGAATAAAAAGATCAATTAACGCTGACTTTTAACATTACGATTAGAGTGATATTCTGATAAATTCTAATGTTTTTAAATTTGAATTTCAAAGTTTGTTACTTTATTTTCTTTCTTCCAAGGTAGATGTATCATATTTGCACACTCTGTATAATTTGTTATCAAAAAAATAAATAAATAAAAGTGAGAATTAAGCCCGCTTCAAGATTGTTTCAAATAAAATGTCGTTACAGGGATTTCATTCAGCAGGAAGAATCTGTACATATCATTTAATTTTGATTGCTATTATCAGTGATGAATATCGAAAGTACAGGAATGTAACGTTTTGATTATTAAAGAGATTAGTTTCTTTTAGAATAAACTTGAAATACTACAACACATTTAGCCTAAATTTCGATTATTATTAAAATATATTCAAATAAATTATGGGCTATTGAGAAATTAAGCTGAAATAATGAAAAAAAAAGAGTTGAAATTTTTAAACAAATTAAGAATTAAAATTTGTCTTGAACTTATTTCAAATAAACTAAAAATTTTTGAAAAAGTTCTCCAGAAAATAAGCTTTGAAATTTATTCTCAAAATCATACAGTCTTCGTCGTTTTCCCTAATCTTATCAACCGCGCTGAAATCTGACATTGAATTTTCTTTTCGCCCTAGATATTATAGTCATGCACTTGCTAGATGATGTTAAGATCAAGCGATCAATGATATAAATCATTGAACTTCATATCGCTTATCAAAAATATCACGATTCCTGATCCGGAAAAGCACATTATCCATTATCCTTTCTCTTTTTCTTTTCCAATCTTAATGATCCACGAATCTTTAATCTCCAAAAATATAAGTGAAACTCAAAATAAGCAGTTTAGCATAATTGAAAAAGCTTAGAAGGAGAAGCCGCAAATTACGCTAAAAAAAGCTATTTGAATAATGAACCGAAGAAAGATGGATAGTGGAAGATAATTAAAAGATAATTAAAGTTTCAAATTAATCTCTTTTCGTTTTTTTTTTCTCGTCTTTCTAGCCATTTCCTCATTTATATGAATGGTATATTATGAAAAAATTAAGTATACTACAACAATATGTATATATGTATTGGTGTAATGACGCAACACAATTTAGAAATTGTTAATTAAAAAAAAAAAAAAAAGAAGATGAAGGAAAAACAACCAAATAAACGCTGAAAAAGAATAAATTTCAGATGCTTAACAGAGTATATGTGTTGTATGATGTGCATTTATCGCTTATTTGTTTATTGATCAACTTGTTGCGCTTTCTGCAATTGTTAATTTTAAAAAAATTTTTTTAGCAGAAATATTAGCTAAACTTTACAAATTGATCTTAGCTAGAATATATTATAGCTAAAATAAGTTTTAGCTAAAATATACACAACCAGCGGTATGTTTTAGAGAAATATCCATGTAAATATTTACATTAACATTTTATCGAATTTAAAAAATATAATTTCTTTTTTTTTTTACTTTCTTTTTCTTCATAAGCCATTTCTGAAAATTTGATATTGAGTTTTTTTTTTCTTTTTTTAATTTCTTTTTCACTTGATTTGTATGGATTTCCATTTAATATTTTTTCTGATAATAAAATTTTAATGAATGAATTCAAAATCAAGCTCATCGGTACTTTTTTTCTCTCCAAACAAACCATCTCGATGTTTTTTCGATTCTTTGTCATCTTGGCTTGTCACTGTTGTAATAGTAGTTTCGGTAGAATGATGAATATTAGCAGATCTGCTAGTTAAATCGTCATCATGCATCTTGAATTTATCAGAATCATCAGCTAAAAATACTTTAGTATCTCCGAAATCCGATGATGACCTGTGGTCAGCGTAGCTTTCCGTATGAACCTCATATTTACGTCCGCCATCATCCATTATCTCTTCTGTTTTCATCGTGAACTGCAAATCTGGTTGATGATGTTTTCCGTCACTTTCACTAAGGATCTCATCAAATTTATTTCTCGTAGATGTGATTAAATTTTGTACAGAATCCGGTAGAGCCGATGAAATAAAGCCAGTTAATCCGTGTCTATGAGCTGTTGCGCTATTATCTGTTAGAGATTTTTCAGTATCAAATTCCGACTGAATTTGTTCATTTGATAACTTTTCGGCATTTTGTATATCCTTCGATTCAGCGTTTGGAATTTCATAAATTTTACTGTGATATGTTTCTTCGGGTGATTGTCCGGGAACTGAATGTTTATCGTAGTATTCTTCATAAGCAACGGAATCACCATTTCCACTCATTAATGTTGAACCAAATAATGTTGAGTATGTTGTTGATGATATTTTGTAATGGTCTGCTTCACCTGATAGCTCATCCCATCCTGGCTGGCTAACTCCACTTTCTGGATGTTGTTTCTCAGCTATTGGATATTCTTCGACATGATTATCAGTTGTCATATCTTTTGCTATAGTTGTTTCTGATTGTAAAACATCTTTTGACATATTATCATCGTGGAAATGATTATCAATTAAGCCTCTCGTCATATCAGTTTCATCAGTTTTTTCCAAAAAACGTTCTTCTGCACCTTCTGGAATATAATCTTCAGTTATATCTTTTGGAATATAAGCTTCCGTTACACCTTCAGAAGCATGAGTTTCTATCATATCTTCTTCAGAACGATGTTGTAAATGATCCTCTTTGTCCCTATTAGTACTTCTTATTTCATGATGTTCTTCCATGTCTTGAAACTCCGAAGCGTCCGTAAATTGTTCGTCACCTTTTCCAGGCGATAGTTCAGTGTGGTGTGCCATCGAATTCTCCATAAATGATGTCGTCATTTGATTTGAAACGCCATATATTTCTTTACGCATTACCTCTTCGACAGGATTTTCATCGACATCATAATTCTCGCCTCCAACGGAAGTGTCCCTATCAGTCATCGGATATTTCTCATTTTCAGTAATTGAATTTTCACTATGCTCCATCGATTTCATTGTATCATTAGTGGTATTTCTAACTTCTTCAACGATTCCAGAGATAATCGGTTTATCATCGTCTGATAATCCTGAGATCACTTCTGCTGTTTCCTTAATTTCTGATTGTTGAGTAGGGGACAGAGTCTCCACATGTTGTTCATCCTTATCCGCTATTGCTCCTTCATTATCCTTATGTAATTCTTCGCTAATATCTTGAACCATTTCATCCACAACTGCTACATCTTCTTTAAATGTAGCTTCCAGTGCAGTTTGAACATCATTGAAGTTAGCATCCAATGTTTCAGCGGTTTCATCATCATGTTTGTTGACATCTGCTTGTACATCTTCCATTGGTAATTGAGCTAAATCCGATTGAGGTGGTTCCGAGAAGTCCGATTGAGTTAAAATCACTTTTTCAATGGTTTCCTCAATTATGTCCACACCAACATCTGCCAAATTTTCATGTCGTTTTATTACCGTACGAATCGATTCTTCGACTGTATTTTCTTGCAAATCACCCGGTGCTCCATAATCCAATTGTTTCTTCATTACATGATGCGTTTCCTCCTCTATCAGTTCTCTCTCCGTATCATCCGGTTTTGTGGTTAGCTCATCTTCTGTTGCATGTTTATCTAAAGTCACAGTTTCGGTGGATATTTTTTGTTTTAATGGTTGCTGAATTAGTTTCAGCATATCCTCATCGAGTAATTCTGGATGGATAATTGTTTTCGGATAACCAATAACCAATTCATCATCTGAAGCAGCTAATTTTTGTTTTTCATGAAAATGTAAATCTTTCTTGAACTGTTCGATATGATCAGGATTTGATGCATCCATTACAGTCAACAAGTAACCGTGTTGCCAAAGTTGTGATCCGGCAAATTTGATCCTTAAAAAAGCATGAAAATTAATGTAATATGATGTAATACTACTCTTCCATATTTTCAGTCAAAATATTTTTTAATATTCATTTGTGCTCATTTTTCTTTCAATGACATTTTTGAATTTAAGATCCCTAATTTAAAGCAATTCTTTTGTTCTTTCATTTTCCTTAAGCCTAAAAGAATTTCTGATAATTTAGTCAAATTTATTGTTTTATTTTCAATATTTTTAATCAATAACAAAATTCTTTGGTTAAAAAAAGGAAACAAAACAAACTCGACGGAATAATCTGCTGGCTCAAATAATGATTTCGTTGCACCTTTCACTTCTCCAGAAAATAATCTTTTCGGCAAATCTTTAAGTAAAAATTTTTTTACCATTTCTTCAATCAAGTTTGACATTTGATTCCCTCTTACTGTTATTTCAAAATACAAATTTGATTTTTTTCTTACATCAATCTTTTCATAATCTTACATAAAAGTTCTTTGTACACTGATTTGTATGTTAAATTTTCAATTTTTAGTGATTAAAATCGCAATGTCGGTATTAAAATTAATGATTATTGGCAATTTAATGGATATTATCAAACAAAATATAATGAAACTTGAAAAAAAAAAACCTGGTTCAGCAGCTACAGGCCTCGCAAGTGCAATGCCCGCTGCCCAACCGTCACGGACCGCAGCAATCATATCCTCAAGTGTTACAAATCCACCATTCATAAATAATTTTGTTCTTGTCAAATGTTTTCGCATCTAAAAAAGATTATCCTTACGTATGTGTTCAATTAAGTTTATGAATTCAGAATTCAGATTCAAATTCAATATTCAATTTTGGAACAGATTCAGCTGGCGATAACTTGATAAATTATTCACTCTTAATTAAAATGTAATATTTTGGGCCCAAAAAAAAAAAAAAGAAAAAATGAGAATTGAAGATGCTAATATTTATAGATCATTTCTTCAAAAAAAAAAAAAAAAAACACTGATTGAATTAAAAAATAACGTACTGTAAGTATAAAATTTTGATAGAAATATTCACACTTCTTTGGATCATCGTCGCGTTTTAAATCTTTGATCAAATTATAATGTCCACCCGTTATAGCTATATAATCAAAGCCAGTTTTCTGAAAAATAAATGAATGAATATAAGTAATTTTGATTAAATTGGAAAAAATATAGAGAATATCGGGAAATGATGGAAATGCATGACAGAATATATTCATTAAATTTTATAACAATATTTTTGCTAGGAAAAAAAGAATAAATGTTTTGCAAATACTGTAACGAAAGAGGCAATTTCCTGCTATTATATTTCGACATTATTGAGGAAATGAAATTAATTTAATTTTCGCTTTAAAATTTGAAAATTTTCATTAACTACAAATTAACTGCATTCATCTTTTTTTTTCCTTTTGTATCAAGCAAAAAGAGAGTTGTGCAAGTAAAAAAAAAAACCATGAAAATGAATTTTTGTCAATCTTGCAAAATGATTAATTGCTTTGCAATCATTAAAAAGCTTTCTGGTTTTACCAAGAATTTAAAAAAGAAAAAAAAAAGGTGAGTAGCCAACATAAAACTTGTTCGGTTTCCTTCAATATTCTAAAAATAGACTACTGAATGCAATTTGCTTAGCTTCCTGAGATAATTTGACATTAACTCAAGAACCCAAAAAGATAAATGAATTTTAGCTTTTACAATTTTAATTCTTTTAGTTCAAATTATCAATTTACCGGATGCATCACTTTCAACCTGTCCATTAACTAATAAACAACTCCATATACTTTTATGGCGGTAACCGAACAATTTGATATGCTTTTCAAACTATTCAAAAGGTTACGAAATAAAGTGAATGATTAATTACTAATTAGTCAACTAATAGCACACCTCTTGAATCCAACTGTTTCGTGCAAACAAAATCAAATAAAAGCAAAGAGTATTGAAGTTATGCTAAAGTGAAGAATTGCAAGATTAATTGAGAAAGTGGAAAAAGTTTGATTACAGCATTATTTTACAACTTATTAAAACAATTCTTTTAAATGCAAAATTTTTTATTTTTATTTGCATCATTTATTTCTCATAACTTTCGAAATTCTCATAGAAATGTATAGAAATTTTCTGGTAATTATATAAAAGAGTTAGCAATTAAAAAAAAAGGCTATTAGGGTGAAAAAAGTGCTCACCTCAACGTTATGAACAAATTCACCGAATGTATCAATATTGTAATCAGGCTCGAAGTTTCCGCAGAATAATTTAAGGCCAATTACAAAGCGGCTTGGTTTACAGATTTTCATTCTTCAAAAAAAAAAAAAAAATTTTCTGGAAACATATGCATCCTAATATATTAATAAAAGACTAATGCAAAAAGGATTCGAAATTAAATGGATTTTAAAAATACTTCAAATTATTTGCATATAACAGCAAAAATTTTGATAAATTTGTCATAAAGAAAATAATTAAAAAGTTGCATAAGTGATCGTTAAATAAATGATAAGATATATTATTGATAAATAAAATGATGAAAATTGATACCGTATGGCTTGGATAATTTTTTTTT